TGGTAATGTGCTGCATACAGTTCAGATTCACTGTGCTTCTCTCCCTTGTTACTTGGGTGATGAGGTATATTAATTCATATGCAAAAGAATTGGCAGGCTGTGAGAGAGAGCAAAGAAAGGTCAAAGCTATTTGAAAAGTTGGAGGCTCCATAGCAGTACCTGGAATTATAGTTGTTCAATCAATCAATCAATCAATAAACATTTATCAAATGCCTGCTATGTGCCAGGCACTGTACTAAGTGTTGTTATAAGTTATTGTACCAAAACAGCTGCTTGAAGATCTTTTCAATTTATCAGTTGGCCCAATTGTAGTTACTATGTGTACATGAAGGTAATAAAGCCTGAGTATATTTTCCACAGTTTACGTCAATTCATCCTGGCTTTCCTCCCATTCAGTCCAACCAAATAAGGATGGTTGTAGTAAAAGATTGCTTTTTTTCCCCAGCCAGGTTGAAGGCATCCCTTTATTGTCTCTCTGTTGCCTTCCAATTAAAGTCTAAAGTCCTTATCTTGACCTCTTTATCTTGACCCACACCTCTCTACCCTGCCCCCCATCTTTTCAGTTCTCCCCACCAGATTTGTGACAGCTCAGAGCCAGAAGGATCTGGGACAGTGGGTCACCTTTTAGGAAGGGCATTGACCGATTAGGGAGAGGTTGGCTAGAGCCCGTGGCCTACAAGGGCTGGTTGGAAGAACTGAGGATATAATTGGTGGCTTCAAATACTGGAAGAGTTTTCCTAGGGAAGAGAGGATAGACTGGTTCTGTTTGTTTATTCCAGAGTGGAGAAGTAGCAGCAACAGGCGAAAGTTACCGGAAAGGCCAATTCTGGTCTGGTGCAAGCCGGAACTTCCTGATCATTCTGGCTGGCCAGAGTGGAATGAGCTGCCTCAGGAAGCAGTAGGTTCCTTCCCCCTATCCCTGACCTGTTGCAAATGTGGTAGAGGCGATTCTTGTCCAGTGTGGGATTGCTTAGATCAAGGGTTCTTCACCAGAGTCTGTGAACTTGTAATTCTGTGTTTTATTTTATGCATTTAAAGACATTTTGAGAAGTCCATGGGCTTCCCCAGAGGACTCCACAATACACAAAAATGAAGACCCCCTACTTTAGAGAGACCACACCGGCCAGTAAGTGTCAGAGCTGGGCCTTGAGCCCAGGCCTCCCTGACCTTGAGGCCAGCCTGCCCACTCAGCACCAAGGGCTGCCTCTTTATCCCATACTTGCACAGTTCAAATAAATGAATATGCTAAATAAAACTGGATTCTTTCTGAATGGCTCAGCCTAGTAAATGTCCCTGGCACAACTCTAGTATCTGGGTCTTTTCATCTCTCTACCCGAAGGACCCTGATAGCTCCCCTTTGCTGATGAGCATTTCTTTTCTCTGCTGTCCTCCCCCTCTTCTGAATGGTCATCCCCTCTAAGAGAAGGCAGATTTGAAAGCAGCCGGGGAAGCCTGAGATTGAAGCTTAATTTTTCTAATCAGTATCAAATAACCCTCGTTACCCAAATGTACTAATCTATCAGCCTCTGGCCTGAGGGTGACATCCTTTTTTATGCTGATAAAAGGCAGGATATTGTAGGCTTTGTTTTCCTAGATAGTACAGGTCTTTTTTGTTGAAGGAGAGGGACGTTAAGATTCTGGGCCAATTTCTAGATATTTGAGCATCTCAGAATTGTGAGAAAAGTAGGGTTGTCCTCTGGGGTGTGTAGATATGTATATGTGAAGTTAGAGATGATCCCGGGTTTACATATACGTGTGAAATGTATAATCCCAAGGATATACCTGTTGTATGATAATCATAACAATGACAATAATGGTCTCCAGAATTTACACAGTGTTTCAAGTTTACATTCTTCCCTCCTCCTCTCATTTATTTATTTATTTGTTCTTTCACTTTTAAAAAAATTTAAATTTAGAAAAAATTTTAATTTAATTAATTTAAATTTTTTTTTAATTTTAAATTTTTTAAAAATTTGCTCATTCACTCATTTGTTTACATTTACATATATTTATTCTGTCCCTCCTACTTTCCTTTTCCTGAATTTGAACATTCAAAAAATAAACTCTCCACAAATGCATAGTCCAACAAAACAAATTCCCTTATTGCCTGTGTCCAATACATGTCTTGCTCTGCATCTTGGGTCTCTGGCAGCAAGTAGGTGTCGTGTTTCATTTTCAGGCCTGTGGATATGGGGTTTTGTCTTTCACATTGTATCCTAGTGAGTTGGGGCAGTTAGGTGAGAACATAGGGACATGGGACATAGAGATCATCAGATGTTAGCGCTGGAGCAGCCTTCAATGGTCTTGTCATCCAAGCCCCTCATTCTAGAGAAAAGGAGACAGGCCCAGGAATTTTAAGGGCCTTGTTTTAAATCACGTGGGTGGTCAAGCAGCGTAGCCAGGAATCCAGGTCCAGTATCCTTCCAAACAACAACAACAACAAAAAACCCTCTATAGTCAGGACTGGTAGCAAAGTCATTTGCAAGGGTGCTTAGAGGAAGTCTAGTCCAGCTTCCTTATTTTACAGTTGGGGAAACTGAGGCCCAAGGAGGAAAAACAAGTCACCAAAATGATAAAAGGAACAATTTGAACTTAAGGGCTTTACCCCCAAACCCAGGCCTCTTGCCAAGCAACAGTAGGGAGGGCTGCCTGAGGAAGGATGCTATTTGAGAGCTGCAAAGCTGCCATTTTATGTGCTCAAGGTAGAAAGAGAGGCAGTAGGGTGTAGTGGATAGTGAGCTGGTTTGGGAGCTAGGGGAACCAGGGTTTGAGTCCTGACTGACAATAGACTAGCCTTTCACTGAAGAAGCTCATATTCTTTGAGGAGTATAGGCAGCGTACTGAATGGGTGAGCTGGAAGAGTTTAGCTGCTGTCCCCCAGGAAGGTGCTGTGGCATGGTGGGGGAAGGTCTGATGCCCCAACATTGCTGGAGCCAGGCAGCTACAGCCACCCTGTGTGTCCATTTACATCTGGAAGAGTGCTGTGGAATGAAGTCTAGATCCTTCTGCCCTGGAATGTACATTGTCCTGGGATACATTGTCCTGAAGAGAGCTTAGGATTCTTCTGTTTGGCTAAATAGTGAGGGGAGAAACTCAGGAAATGGCCAGTGCGGGGATGTTACTGGATGTCTGGCTGCTTGCTGTAGTATTGTATATATGAGAGCCTGAGTGTGTGAAGATGTGAGTGTGTGTGTGTGTGTGTGTGTGTGT